TGTTAACTCGACTTTGTTTCAGGAGAGCTCAACGAACGATCAGCTAGAGATCGCGATAGATTCGATATTTCCGCTTTCTACTTGTACACAAGCGTTTCATGATCGAGATACCCTTCACCTAAATCTTTGGTTGCTCGCGGCGGGTTTTACGGTACATATTTTTCTAAGGCCGTAACCTGTTTCTTTGTCTGTTAAAGCGCCAGTCTCATATAAGAAGATAAGTCATGACGTCGCGCGCTCACGAAGAGAGATGTTTTAATTTATTTAGAGAAACTGAAACTTGCCTAAATTCACCGTAATTGCATACATAGTAAAAACGTACTTTTCCGTCATTAAGACATATTCATGATGCGTTCTTTCCTTAAGTCAGAGGATATTCGCAGTGTTACAGTTCGTGGTTTTCCAGTGTCCATAATTTTCACTGGTAATTCACGTGAGCTTGCTCGCTTTTTGTGAAAGTACCAAGATCTCCCATAAGAAAAGAGGTCAGTCTATGACACCGCTGCTCACAAAGGAAGATGACCCCATTGAGACCCCTCCCCCCAAAATGAATGCTGTTTTGTTGACATTTTTCCTACGCCTATCAAGTCATGTAATGTTATGCAAAAATCTCAAGCGAAGAGAATGAATTTGTTTCAAAGCGACTTCGTTAAACATCTTAGTGGTTTCACATCTTACCAATCATCCTCATCAGCTATGAAAAGGTTCGTTTCCAGCGACATTGGTTTGATAAGTAAAGTCATTACTTGGTAATAAAGTTCTAAAACAATATTTTCGAATATTGCCATATTGCACAATGTCAGGAAGGTTTCTAGAACGCTGTAGTAAAAGTTAAGAAATATCTAGAACGCTGTAGTACTAACTAAGAAATATCTTTCTTGTCGGGCTCAGACTGTTAACGCTTAACGCTTTGAGTCAGTAGTCAATATATGGTCACCACTGATCACGACGAAAAAACATCCAAAAATCTAAGAAAAGGGAAAGTAGATATCATACTGATAACTGTATTCCTTGCCTGCTTCTTTGAATACTCGCAATGAAAAATAATTGATTTACCTGCGGCTGAATTAGCATTTGTTTTGTGTTTTTTTTCTCGAAAGTAGAATACTGATTTCTGAGGGGCTTTCGTTTTCCAGTAATATTATCGTTGTCTAATTGTCAAGCTACGCAATAAAAGCACTCCGCAATCGCTGAAAATATCAACAAGTTGCCTTTGGAGAAATAAGTGACTGAGGAGGGAAAAAGTTTTTGAGTTTCCCCACGTGATGAGTAAATCCAAAAGTTCTTTTTGGATCATAAAAAACTAGATCAAAGTTACTTATTCCCAATAGTGTCTACACCTGAATGGGTCAGTGAGTGAGTAAGCTGGTAGCACATTTACATATTGCAGTCTACGTAGAAACATGTTTCTAGGGTTTTAAATGGTATCAAACACGAGGTCGACAACTTGGTAAGTGCAAGTAGAAGGATATTTGGCATTTTGTCATGTACTCAGTAAATAGTTATCGTAAATTGTTAATTAGATTAATTTTGCATGAGTAACGTTTTAATGAATGGCAAATCCTTTTAATCTTTGTTCTGTGACTGTAAAGAAGTGTAACGTTGTGCAAAGTTCGCCACCGAAGAGAAATGGGTTTGTTACAAAGCGACCCTGTCCTCACATCTTATCAATGATCCTCATGTGCTATGAAAATATTCGTTTTCAGGGACATTCGCCAGATAAATGAGCTCATTACTTGTAAAAACCCGGTTTCTCATCAGCTACAACAACAAAGTAACTTTCTTGAATTCACTATGATCATGTATGTACTTGTAATAGGACTGAGTGGAGTCTGTAATCATACGAGTGATGAAAAAGTCGGACGACCGCGCAGCGGAAGTCCGATTTGTTTATCACGTGTATACGATTACAGACTGAATTGGACAAAGTCTTCTTACCAATTAATCATAAAAATTAAAATTTCCAAGAAAAGAAAAACAGCCAAGCTATGAAAGAAAAGAAAGAAAATTTGCATTAAAAGACTGACAAAAGGAGGCGTAAATTGTTTAATTGGTTGATTTAAACTGCAACTTTGAATGTAATTAACTTATTGAACTGTTCGATAACAAACTTTTTGGATAACAAACTGTCCGATAACAACTTGGCAAGTGAATCAGTGGATAATGGGAATTTTTTAAACCAATCACAATCGAATAAATTACAACTTTATGATTGGTTATCATGGTAATAGGGCCGCGTGGAATCTAATTCGGTCTGTAATCATAACGAGTGATTAAAAATTTCCGAAAACAATAAATACATTTTGGACAAATATCTCCGGTAGAGACAACGGGAAAAGTAAAAAATTACTTCATTTTGGAAATCCCCCCAGTTTTCTTTTTTTAGGATAATTATTGAGGAAATTGTAGTGGTTATGATTAATAATGGTAATAGGACCGAGTGGAGTCCAATTCGGTCTGTGAACAAAATCGGACGACCGCGAAGCGGAAGTCCGATTTGTTAATCAAGAGTATGATTACTGATAGAATTGGACGACATGATGTCCTGTTACCAATTAATCAAAACTATGACTAGATATCGGTGATGCGTCATATAAAAAAAGCCAGCAACAACAGTGAACTCGGCGGAAAGCGGGACAACAGCGCGCGCGCATGACGCGTTCTGTCCACTCACACAGGCATGGCGTGTTAATTATCCCTTTAACTGTCCTATTTCACCGTCCAATTAGACGGGTCCCTACAGTCATTAGGGACCTTAAGCAGTCAGGACGGAAAAGCCAAGGAAGACTTCGATTAAAAAATAAATTTTGTTTTTAATCAGAATTTTAAAAATGGCTGCATTTGTTTACCTTCTCATACGGCGCCACCCCTCAACTTCAGCATAACGTATCAAAGAAGCGTTGAGTTCTAAATGGAAAGAAATGTACAAAGTTTTAAAACGCACGCTCTGAGCTATTGTTCTGCCAATTAGATCTTTTGTTTTTTCATGTCCTCGTTGCCGTCGCCGTCGTCGTTTGCTTAAGATTCCTATTAATTTTGTCGTCTCACTTTTAAAGAAATAGCCAAGAGGGAATTCCCAAAACAGAAGTGATCTGGATACTCAAAACATAGGGATACCCTAAAAAACAGTGAAAGCACAAGTTTCGGAATGTTTGGAAAACTTAGTTCTTTTATTGTTTCAAAAGCATCAGCTATATCGTCAACATCTTTAGAAGTGATTGAATTAAGTAAATAAAGACTAAAGATCTTTTATAGGTACTCATGTTTTATAATCTATGGTTATTTAGTCACTCTAGAGAAGTAAGGCTCTGATGGGTAGCCTTATGAATGCTTTTCCGATTTTTATGTTTACATATCACGTTGTGAATAAGAGACTGATTGTTTTCACAATTACGCAATTAATCTTTTTATAGAATAAAAATATATTTATTTCATTGCTGATGTCATAGGATAATCGCGGTTATCGCTGGTTTCTTTGCGGAATACTGGTAATACAACATCATTGATTCCCTAAGATTATCAAATGCTCTGATGAAGGGCTAAAGCTCGAAACGTCAGCTTCAGAAACTCATTACAATGGCCAATTTACAATGTCAGCTCAGTTGGTAAAGCCAAGTTATTTTACACCATTGAAAACGAACTTTTGCTTCTTTTATTCCACTCACACGAAAAAGACGGTTACAACGCAGAGAGAAAAAAAAAATGTATATATGTATGCTAATTTAAAAAGAAAATTTGAATAACAAAAGGAAAAGAAACACATGGACCAATCATAAATCAAATTAATAATTCCTGTGAAATATATTAAATTCAAATAACAACGGTCAAATTATAATGTACCTAATAATAACAAAGCCAAATTATTTTGTATATCCCACCAGTTTCTTTAGAAACTTACCCTGTTCATTAATGTTGTTTATAGAAACTATGCATGGGGAAAGTTCTCATAACAAAAGTTGAGATAAATGCTGTTTAGTTTATCTTTGTCCTGTGACTTTACAGTAATGTCATGTTGTGCAAAAATCACAACTTAAGTAAAATGAAGGGTGACAAACCGAGTTTGTCAAACAATTGTTGCTTCAAATCCTGGCAATCATCCTCATCAGTTACGAACAGATTCGTTTTCAGCCATATACTTCAGATAAATAAGCTCGTTAACCGGTGATAAACTGCTAAAACAACATTTTCAAATGTTCCCAGAACGTTGTAGTAAAAGGTTTATAAACCCTTCTTGTTTTTTTAAGAAACCTGCAACATTTCAAAACCACCTCATTGATGGCGCGACCCCACGACATACGATCGTTAATCAAACTAAAGCATGCGTCATTTTTTCTTTTACTTGATAAGAAGAATAAACGAAACAGCTGGATCAAAAATCATTTGGATAACAGATGACTTTCATAGCGTGACAGTCACACAGTCTGTTTCAAAGAATCTGTGCAGGTCAAATAAAATTTTAAAAGTTTCACCGAATGTGATCCGTTGATGTGTTCCAGTTGTACTTATCCACACCCTTCTTCAATTTTTTTTAAAGCCGATATAGTGAATTCTAACACTTTCAGCTCGTTACAAAAAGTTTCAAGGTGAAATCGACCAAGCTTGCTTTTGTAACTTAACATGTGTGTTCCGGTTTGTAGTGACTCATTATGAATCCAGATTATCGAATCACTTTGTATTGCGTTACTAAAAATAATGTTTCCCTGATTGCAGGAGAGGATGGCAATGAAAACCTAATAGCAGAAGCCATGATAGCTTTCATGACCATCGCCTTACTTATTTCCGTGTTCCTGCTCAACTCAAATCGCATTCAGAAAGCCATTGAGATATGCAGGGAATGTCTGATTTTGCTAAATAGCGCCGATCAAAACAGCAAAGACATCTTTATAGTTCTTTTCAGCAAGATGCTGTTTGCCTTATACAAAAACTCTGGAATTATGCTTCAAACACTTGGCGAAAACCTAAGGGCGAAGGAATATTTTGAGAGGGCCCTTGCCATAACTACCGAAATTAGCGACAGAAATGGGAGAGCATCATGTTATGGAAACCTAGGCACTGTGTTTCTGTCGCTCGGGCAATACCACAAGGCTCAAGAGTATCTCCAAAGAGCGCTTGTCATCACAACTGAAACTGGCGACAGAAATGGGGAAGCAACATGTTATGGAAACCTAGGTATTGTGTTTAAGTCGCTTGGGCAATACGACAAGGCTGAAAAGTATCTCCAAAAGGCGCTTGTCATCAGAACTGAAATTGGCGACAGAAATGGGGAAGCAACATGTTATGGAAACCTAGGTACTGTGTTTCTGTCGCTCGGGCAGTACGACAAGGCTCAAGAGTATCTCCAAAAGGGGCTTGTCATCAACACTGAAATTGGCGACAGAAATGGGGAAGCATCGTGTTATGGAGAGCAAGGTGCTTTGTTTCTGTCGCTCGGACAATACGACAAGGCTCAAGAGTATTTCCAAAAGGCGCTTGTCATCAACACTGAAATTGGCGACAGAAATGGGGAAGCAACCTGTTATGGAAACCTAGGTGCTGTGTTACTGTCGCTCGGGCAATACTACAAGGCTCAAGAATATCTCCAAAAGGCGCTTGTCATCACAACTGAACTTGGCGACAGAAATGAAGAAGCAACATGTTATGGAAACCTAGGTACTGTGTTTCTATCGCTCGGGCAATATGGCGAGGCTAGAGAGAATCTCCAAAAGGCGCTTGCCATCATAACTGAAATTGGGGACAGAAAAGGAGAGGCAGGACTCTACGGAAAACTTGGTGATTTGTTTCGGTTGCTCGGGCAATACGACAAGGCTGAAAAGTATCTCCAAAGAGCGCTTGTCATCACAACTGAAACTGGCGACAGAAATGGGGAAGCATCATGTTATGGAAACCTAAGTATTGTGTTTCAGTCGCTCGGGCAATACGACAAGGCTCAAGAGTATCTCCAAAAGGCGCTTGTCATCAGAACTGAAATTGGTGACAGAGAAGGAGAGGCAACTGACTACAGAAACCTTGGTAATTTGTTTCAGTCACTCGGGCAATACGACAAGGCTCAAGAGTGTCTCCAAAGAGCGCTTGTCATCAGAACTAAAATTGGCGGCAGAAATGAGGAAGCAACATGTTATGGAAACCTAGGTACTGTGTTTCTCTCACTTGGGAAATACGACAAGGCTCAAGAGTATCTCCAAAAGGCACTTTTCATCACAACCGAAATCGGCAACAGACATGTAGAAGCAGCATGTTATGGAAACCTAGGTTCGGTGTTTCGGTCGCTCGGGCAATACTACAAGGCTCAAGAATATCTCCAAAAGGCGCTTGTCATCACAACTGAACTTGGCAACAGAAATGACGAAGCAACATGTTATGGAAACCTAGGTGATGTGTTTCTATCGCTCGGGCAATATGGCAAAGCTAGAGAGAATCTCCAAAAGGCGCTTGTCATCAGAACTGAAATTGGCGACAGAGAAAGAGAGGCAACTGACTACGGAAATCTTGGTAATTTGTTCCGGTCACTCGGGCAATACAACAAGGCTGAAGAGTATCTCCACAGAGCGCTTGTCATCAAAACTGAAATTGGCGACAGAAAAGGGGAAGCATCATGTTATGGAAACTTAGGTACTGTGTTTCTGTCGCTCGGGCAGTACGACAAGGCTCAAGAGTATCTCCAAAAGGGGCTTGTCATCAACACTGAAATTGGCGACAGAAATGGGGAAGCATCGTGTTATGGAGAGCAAGGTGCTTTGTTTCTGTCGCTCGGACAATACGACAAGGCTCAAGAGTATTTCCAAAAGGCGCTTGTCATCAGCACTGAAATTGGCGACAGAAATGGGGAAGCAACCTGTTATGGAAACCTAGGTGCTGTGTTACTGTCGCTCGGGCAATACAACAAGGCTAGAGAGAATCTTCAAAAGGCGCTTGTCATGAAAGCTGAAACTGGCGACAGAAAACAAGAGGCAGTTAACTACGGACACTTTGGTCATTTGTTTGAGTTGCTCGGGCAATACGACAAGGCTCAAGAGTATCTCCAAAGAGCGCTTGTCATCACAACTGAAATTGGCGACAAAAATGGGGAAGCATCATGTTATGGAAACCTAGGTACTGTGTTTCTATCGCTCGGGCAATACGACAAGGCTCAAGAGTATCTCCAAAAGGCGCTGGTCATCAGAACGGAAATTGGTGACAGAAAAGGAGAGGCATTTGATTACGGTAACCTAGGTACTGCGTTTCTGTCGCTCGGGCAGTATGACAAGGCTCAAGAGTATCTCCAAAAGGCGCTTGTCATCCACACTGAAATTGGCGACAAAAATGGGGAAGCATCATGTTATGGAAACCTAGGCACTGTATTTCTGTCGCTCAGGCAATACGACAAGGCTCAGGAGTATCTCCAAAAGGCACTTAACATCACAACTGAAATTGGGGACAAAAAAGGAGAGGCAACCGACTATAGAAAACTCGGTGATTTGTTTCGGTTGCTCAGGCAATATGACAAGGCTCAAGAGTATCTCCAAAGAGCGCTTGTCATCGCAACTGAAATTGGCGACAGAAATGGGGAAGCATCTTGTTATGAAGAGCTAGGTGCTGTGTTTCTGTCGCTCGGGCAATACGACAAGGCTCAAGAGAATCTCCAAAAGGCACTTGTCATCACAACTGAAATTGGGGACAGGAAAGGAGAGGCAGGCAACTACGGAAACCTAAGTATTGTGTTTCAGTCGCTCGGGCAAAACGACAAGGCTGAAGAGTATCTCCAAAGAGCGCTTGTCATCACAACTGAAATTGGCAACAGAAATGGGGAAGCAACATGTTATGGAAACCTAGGTACTGTGTTTCTGTCGCTCGGGCAATACTACAAGGCTCAAGAGTATCTCCAAAGAGCGCTTGTCATCAAAACTGAAATTGGCGACAGAAATGGGGAAGCAACATGTTATGGAAACCTAGGTACTGTGTTTCAGTCGCTCGGGCAATACGACAAGGCTCAAGAGTATCTCCAAAAGGCGCTTGTCATCAGAACTGAAATTGGCGACAGAGAAGGAGAGGCAACTGACTACGGAAACCTTGGTAATTTGTTTAAGTTACTCGGGCAATACGACAAGGCTGAAGAGTATCTCCAAAGAGCGCTTGTCATCAACACTGAAATTGGCGGTCGATATGGGGAAGCAACATGTTATGGAAACCTAGGTACTGTGTTTCTGTCGCTCGGGCAATACGACAAGGCTGAAGAGTATCTCCAAAGAGCGCTTGTCATCAGAACTGATATTGGCGACAGAAATGGGGAAGCATCGTGTTATGGAGAGTTAGGTGTTATGTTTCTGTCGCTCGGGCAATACGACAAGGCTAGAGAGTATCTCCAAAAGGCGCTTGTCATCAGAACCGAAATTGATGATAAAGGAGGGAAAGTAGCAGATCTTGCAAACTTTGGAAGAGTGTTTAGAGCTGTTGGAGATTATGAAGCCTCGGAAGTATACTTGGAGAAAGCTTTATCCATATCCAGAGATATTGGAGATAGAAGAAAAGAGTTCGAAATCCTTCAATATTACGCCATTTTGTATTTAGGGCAATATAAAATCAGAGAATCCCTTCTGTGTCTTCGTCTGTACATTGAAAAGTATGAGGAGCTGAGATATTTCTTGGGCGCCAATGATCATTTCAAGACATCATTACTGGAGGAATCAGGAATATTTCCCTACAAAATGCTTTGTAGTTTGCTTTGTGGCACCGGAAATGCTCGGGATGCTCTTTATGTTGAGGAGTTGGGTCGAGCTAGAGGCCTGTCAGACCTAATGGTAGAGAGCTACTCGGTTGAAACGCACAACTCTGCTGATATACAATCTTGGTTTGGCGTTGAGAACATTTTTAGAAAGAAAAATAACTGTACTTGTCTGTACATTTCTTATTTTCACAATGGTCTGCATTTGTGGATCTTAAAAACAAGTGGAGTCCTTCACTATATAAGAATATCAGTAGAAGAGAATCTAGTTCAGGCTGGGTTGCCCAAAGATTTGCCTTTGAGTAAATTTTTGGATGATAATTTCCGGAGTCTTGGTATTTTGCACGATAAAGATTGTGAAGATCGGTCTTTAAATATGGTTAAATTGCAACCTCTCTTCCCCGCAAAGAAGAGCTTAGCAAGATTGCGACTCATGGAGGAGGACGAGGATGAGGATGAGGACGAGAAAGTGATTTCAAGTCTATTTTTGTGTTACAAAATGTTTATTGCTCCCGTTTATGATTTGCTTGAGGAGCCTGAAGTCATCATCGTTCCTGACCGCAGTTTGTACAAAGTTCCCTTTGCTGCACTGAGTGAAAAGGAGGGAGCCGAATACCTCTCGGAGACTCATAGGATCCGTGTCATTCCTTCTTTGACAACACTCAAGATTATTCAAGATAGTCCAGAGGACTATCACAGCAACACCGGTGCCTTGATAATAGGCAACCCTAAGGTTGATTGGCTGACGCCATTGCCAGGTGCAAGAAAGGAAGCGGAGATGGTCGGACGACTGGTGGGTGTTCCGCCTCTGGTAGGAGAAGAAGCAACGAAGCAGGCGGTGCTTGAGCGGATAAGTTCAGTGAGCCTCATTCATTTTGCTGCCCATGGTGACGCCGAAAGGGGAGAAATTGCCCTCTCCCCCATTCCTACTTCCAACAGGCGAAACGCTATCCGACCACATGAAGATTACATGCTGACGATGGCTGATGTATCACGAGTGAAAGTCAAAGCTAAACTGGTGGTACTTAGCTGCTGTCACAGTGGAAGAGGTGACATTAGAGCAGAGGGAGTTATAGGAATTGCCCGTGCGTTCTTAGGATCCGGTGCTCGCTCGGTGTTGGTTGCGCTGTGGGCCATTTCAGACTCAGCAACAGAGCAGCTGATGAGTCGGTTCTACGAACACCTTGTAGAGGGAGAAAGTGCCAGTGAATCCCTTCATCAGGCCATGAAGTGGATGAGAAAAAGAAAGTCTACCAGAGTGTCTGAGTGGGCTTCGTTTACGCTGATTGGAGATGACGTGAGACTCGGGTTTGACAAGCAGAGGTAAGACTCAGTCCGAAAAGATATTTCACAAATTAAAGTCTAAGTGGATGTGAAGGTAGCTGTGGTTTATTGGTCGCTGACTGTCGGCAGGGATCCTTTGTTACCTTGAACATCAAGGCTAGTTCAATCTATATCCATATATGCATATATATATATATATATATATATATATATATATATATATATATAGAGAGAGAGAGAGAGAGAGAGAGTCTGCAAGTCGATTTTCGCGTGGAACAGTGCTCAATACGTTGAAGCAGAGCGGAATAAATATTTTAAGAGGAAAAAAGGACGCAACTATCATCTAGCTCTCCCTACAACAGCTCCAGTAAAAGATGCAACCTCTGCCTAAAAGAAAAATTCCTGATCATTTACCGACCCGATCTCTCATCACTAAATAAGCGTAACGAACTCGTATCTTCATGCCGACACAGAAACAAAGCGTTGCTACGCAACAGCTGATCTTTAAAGTTTTTAAGTTTACCGCGTATTATGTAAATTTTCCTAGTATATACACGATAGTCACATGAATATTCTTTCATTAAACCCCTGAAGAGTGAAGCGATTCACGAAACAGGCTTGTCGGGAAAACGTAGTTGCGTCCTTTTTTCCTCTTAAAATATTTATATATATATATATATATATATATATATATATATATTTTATTTATTTTCGGAGAGTTACTATCGACGCTCTCTCGCGTAAATATAGAATCTCGAAAGGGCCCCTCCTGCCGATCACATACAAGTGTTAGCCATTCATATTTTTAGATATTGAGCTTGGTATAATTGTATTTTTTTCATATCCAAAATGTTAGTTGAGTTAAAAATAAATTGCTGTTTTTTTTATTTTTTTTATTTTTACAGAAAAGGAGACCCCGACAGAGTAAACAACGAGAATAACTCGAGGGAAACAGAGCTAAAAGACTTTTAGATGCATAAATTGAATAGAAACAAGTAGAGAACATACTTTATCTGGTATTTCATTGATTAAACAAAGGAGCTTTCCCAAATTAGATCTAGTTCAATTTTTGGTGCTTTCTTTTTCAATATTGTTATAGGACAAAGTTGGTATATATCAAGTGTTTTTGTTTTACTTATTTACACGTTGAAAATGAATGGAAATAGTATATCAGCATAAGCTATTCAGTAAAAATTATAATAAGCCACTTGATCATTTCTTATTCCTTTTGGCGGTCTTATCTTACAGGTATAATTTAGCACGTTCGACACCTCTTTTTCTTAGAGGTGACTTAAAGGTGTAAACAACTAATACTTTTCATCCTCCGCACTGAATTTATAATCAGGAAATTTATACGAATATTTATACTAAGATGGCATAGAAAATGGCAGTCTAATCGCGCAATGTCTTGTGGTTGACAAGGATCCTTTCACAGAAACCCTTTCCTTAGTCAGTTATATCAGAGATAGAAAATAATTTGGACCGGGGCAATTGCATCCACATGATGCTTTTTTTTTTCGCTATGCTAAACGTTAAGTCTTACTCAAAGAAAATAATTTTTGCAACCGATTATCAGCTATGGTACCATTCCAGATGAGCAAAAATAAAATTTGGCTCTAGAAAAAAAAATTCAGAAAATCTCCTATGTTTCTTTTGAAGAGGTTGCAGTATAAAACAGTAGCAAACCGATGTTCAAAGTCTCGCCATGGTAGCGGGATAAAGGATGCAACTGGCGGGATTCTGGAAACTATACAAAGTCTCTACATGCTCTCAGCTGAGGCTCTCGGCACTGAAAACAAAATGAACGGCGTGATTGCAGGAAGGATTTTATCCGTGCATTTGTCTGGTTGGTTCACCTCAACTCATGTTACTCGATACTTATCTTTCAAGGTGATTCCCTTTGAGAAAAAGGTTATCGAAAAATTTTTTTAAAACTTTCCTTTGATATTCGGCCTGCAGTGCAGATGTCTTCTTTGGGTGAACTAACGTTTTAAGCTCGCGATCGTTTATGCGACCGGCTTTGTTCGATTTGAAGTTAGAGTGAACGTTGGGGATAGGGGCTGTTGAAAAGCAAAACACCCCCTGATTAGCTGCGCGACACTACATTTCCGGAAATGATCGGGTAACCAACTAAAATGAGTTGAATTAAAAACGGGAAGCACTGTCTCCCGACAAAGACAACACACGTAGAGCCGATGAGTGAGACGGTGATGCAGTTTTTTTCACCCAGGATAGAGATGTCTTCGATAAAACCTCCTCCGCCGCCATAAACATGAGCTGATAATTGCTGCAATCTATATTTTTCAAACGACAAACCTTGAGTATAGCTGCCGTTAATCTATTTAACGATTTTTCTTCCATTTGATGGTAAACGATACTTTGAAGCAACAAAAACTGCACTCAAAGGTTTACCCGCCATAATTTGTTTGATGCAAACCGGCAAACTCTGGTGGAACGGTGTTGCTTCCTTTTTTTATCAACGAAAACAATGGCTTCACCAAACGTTTTCTGCTGACGCAAGTACAAGTTAATATTTGCCCCACTCTACATCCTCTACACGACAATCCGTTAGCGTAGCTATCGTTAATCTAATCGAAGATGCTCATTCTAGATGATCTAGCCTGCGTTGCTGGCGGTCTGTGGTTTTGGGGTCGGAGAGAAAAATGAAACAAGAGGCGAACAAAACGTATCGAATGTCGTATTGATCAGCTTTCGGTCAGCGTTTTAACGAGCAACTCTTTTTTAAAGAAAATGGTTTGTGTTCTTTTATATTTGAGTTCAGAGAGCTTTAGCTATTTCAAACTGTATGAACATTTGAGAACCAAACTACAGGATTTTATTAAGTGTAACCGGTGATAACAACTTTACGACTGCGAGAAGTACCTCCTTTTCGGGAGGGACAACTCGTAGTCTTGTGCTGTTATCTCCGGCCGGTGATAACAGAAAGAATTGAAATGCTTTTCAAACCCCTAAGATATCATACAATTTAGGAACGCAAACGATTTCTTGCTGCATGTGGTGTGTTACGAGGAGCGAGCTTGTCAACTTTTGAAATTTTCTGTGTCCCAAGAGGTCAAAAAAGGGCCTTTTGCAGCTTTGATTATTGAGAGCACTCCAAATTTTTTTTTGACGTATTTCCAGACACCAATGTGGTTTTATTTACTTACTAACAAAGATAGTTTAACGGGGAAAGTTTGAGGCAAAACTTTTTTCCGATGCGAAATTCCCTGGACCGCTCGTATAGAGATCGCCACTTAAGTGCTTCCTTGAAAGTGGAATCTGAAACTGACAACTTCACGAGGTTTTCAATGGGGTTAGCCGTTAAACGGCCAAAAAGTTTAGCCGTTAGGCGTAAAAATTGACAAATTTTTAACCAGTAGTCGTAAAAAGAAGTTAACCGTAGAAAAAAAAAGTTCTGGTGACAACAATGGAATGATGTAAACTGTTAGCCGTGAATTGGCCAAAGTCAACTATCACCCAGCAGAAACCCTCTTCTAAACTAAACAAGTTAAAAAAATGTATGCGAACAGCTTGTTTCAATCCGTCGAGGTTGCACAAATATTGAAGCAATGGTTATATAATACAATGCTACGAGTTTTGTCTCGTGATCTGATAACTCATGTATCCTGGCTCGATTACGACTGAGTCAATGTTACAACTGTGTTATTCACTGAGGTTGCACCGAGAGTATTGCAAAGTTAAAACAAGTTTCTTCAGCACTGGCCTAGTGTTGGATCAGAGAAAACGAAGAGTGTCTATATATATTCAATATTCTGCTGTGTCTATATATATTCAATATTCTGCTGTGTTTGTTTTTTTGTCTGTTTTTCGACCATTAGGTAAGAATTATTCCCTTTTATTTGATTATAAGCAAGTGCCATATGACAGTCCTTTCACTTTTCGAATCAACTTCCCTAGGTCCTAAACTAAATCGAATTTTTGACCAATTTATAATTGTGACTGTTGCAATATTTCTGCATTTATGAAACTCATAAAAAACTTTGAAAGAACTCAGTTGGCACTCACGCCCTGGCGCGCACAATTAGGGACTTTGTTTCATTTTTTATTGTTCAATTTTAGGCACGCGCTTATTAGCTAGTTCAAATGATTTAAATTTAAATGACATTATATGTTTTAAACTTTTAAAAGCATTTCTTTCCCTACAAACCATCATCAATAGCCAGTAGTCGCGTATCCTTTTGCTCACGCAACCTTCAGCGACCTCACAGAAAATTCCCTTTTTCTCCACTTCAAGAAAGGATTCAAAACTTAAACTACAATGTTTTCGAACACGATTTATCATCGACACCTCTCACGTTCTTTTAGGGTGGACGCAACTTGGAAATGGCACGACATCTTTTGATGTTTTATTTTCATGATTACTTTCTGTCGACGGTTTTTTCACATACGCTTTAATTTTTCAGTACATCAAAACGCAAAATTAAGATGACTTGGTCGTAATTTACATACAACTATCGCGAACATGTCCATTTCATGCACGAACTAACTCCTAAATGACAGTGTAAAATACCTAAATTAAACACCGTAAAGAGGTAATTGCACTCAAAACTTTAATTATTATTGAGATTTTCTTTCAACCGGAAAATAATGTCATTTATAAATGCTCGATGTGGGAACTCAAAACTTTTCTTTGATTAACAAAAATCGGTGAGTGGAATGTAAATACATTTTCATGGGTATAATATTATGTTTAATTAAAATATTTAATGCACGTTGCTTGATTGCATCTAAAATTAAAATAGAAGGCTGCACAAGATTATCTTAAAATACAAACTAGTTAATTGCTTGCCTCACCAACTATTTCTTCTCAGTGAATTGCGAAAATTTTGGGTTATTTTCATTGATAGTCATCCTGAGTGCAAAATCATGCGTTTTCCTTATATACTCCTCAGGGCAAATGGTCTCATCAGTTGTTAAAACATCAATACCGTCACAAAAGCCCTCATTAATTAAATGACTTGGATGATTGAAATTAAAGATAAATTACCACGAGTTTTATCCTGTTTCTTTGAGGACACTAAACATTTAAAAGCGCGTTTATCGGTCGATAGTATTGCAACTTGGATCTCTACCAAAGGATCGACAGAAAATTCCATTAAAGTCATCGATCAATTCATCACAGGGATGATTTTTGAATTTTACACCACTGAATGAATTTTAAGTTTACCTTAGATTTTTGGCTGCCCACGCATACATTCTACTCAAGAAATCTTTAGAACCGAAAAATGTCTTTTATTTTTTGAGAGTTTTCACTTTGACGATTAATTGGTTTGGTGATTTATACCAACATATAAGTACTATTTTTTAGCGGTAGTGAAAAATGCTTGACAATAGTCAAAACAATGGTTCGCATCATTATTAACTTATCAAGAAAAGCGAGATTGACTTGAATACTAGTGTGCTTTTCACCTCATGCCCTTGCATTTCACGTTTTATGCCATTTAATGTCATTCTTTCACGATTGGGAATTTCAAAATGTCTACTTGTGTTACGTACTTTCCCCGGAAAATGAAACCCTTGTCTTGAGAGTACTTTCAACCAGGTTTAAGTTTCTTGGATTACTTTTTCATATTCCTCTTCTTTCGGTTAAAAACCAAATATTTTTGTATAACTGAGTCTTGAATTGCAAGAGACGCAGCACCAATCTGTGATCCAACAAAATAATTGGGCTGGAGTTAGACTTCTGAGAAAAATAGCAGATTAGATACCTTAATTTTATTCTTTCGCCCGAAATTTAGCAGCGTTCAGTGAAAGAGAAGTCCCCTTACGCCGTGTCAGGCGCCTATTGGATAGATCCTGGTGGCGGTTCCCGTAGTAACGCTTTCCAGGTCTACTGCGACCAGCAAACAGACGGAGGGGGCTGGACACTAGTTTACAGTTACACTTTCACTGCCTACTCAAGCTTCTGGACCGGCCGAAACGCTGTCACCCCGCGCCCATCTTGGTCAGCTAGCGACGCTAACGTTCGAGTGTCTAAAACAGTTCCACTGAGCGAGACGCAGTATGAGGCCATGGACTTTTCTTTGTGGCGCAGCATTGGCAAGGAATTCCTGATCAAGAGCAACATCAATAACTGGATCGCATGCAAGGAAGGTTCTGGTAGCATAGTGCAACAGAAGAAGGGGTCACTTTCTTGTAAACTGGTGAAGCAGGTTTCTAATCAGTGCCCTGGAACGGTACCAAAATCTATGAGTCTTCCTAGTCGCGGACCTCTCCTTACTGCTGGAAGTTATTATAACTACTTTGACGGGAACACAAGGATTAACTCACCAACTCATGATCCTTGTCGTTAAAATTGACCAAACCAGTTGAGAAATGTGCCAAACCCACACGGAAACATTTTTGTGCGCTAAAAACCTCACATAAATCGTCTAAGTTTTTTTCTGTAAGCGGCTAAGAATTTTAACATTTATTAAAGATGGGTTCATGGGATATCAATGCCTGACTTTTTGAGAGCTGTAATTGTTTAGAAAAAGGTTGTGACCTTGACGCTCTCTAGCTGAGCATCTACCCGTGTTTTCAATTTCAACTCATAACGAGAGAACCCTCGTAATGTGTTAATATTCTGTCCTAAACCACTCTCAAATAAAAAATTTGGTCTTCACCTCTCTTCACCACTCCCCCTCTTCCAGCAAGAATTTACGGTCCTTCAAAAATGCATAAGGATCGTGAAGCTAACTCTACACCGCCATTTCGCTCCATCGTATCTTCTATAGGAACATACAATTACAACCTGGCCAAGTACCTATGTCGTTTTTTAACACCTCACATTCCAACTGATTACTGTGCCACTGACACTTTTACTTTTGTTCAGGACATCCAATCTCTATATCTCGTAAGTTTATGGTTTCTTTTGATGTTGAAAGTCTCTTTATTAACATACCTCTTGAGGAGAGTATTGACTTAGCGGTCAACTACATTTCCGAGGATAATCCCGACATTAAGTTAAACAAATCTGAACTTAGAAGTCTCTTCACTACAGCTACCGCTCAGACTCATTTCATATTTAACGGTCCTTTTTATGATCAAATAAATGGCGTAGCCATGGGGTCTCCCCTTGCCCATGTCTTAGCCAATCTTTTTATGGGACATCATGAAAAACTTTGGTTGGAAAATTTTCATGGCTCTACAATCTTATTTTATCGCCGGTATGTTGATGATACTTTTTGCTTATTTAACTCAGATCGAGATGCCACTATATTTTTCGACTATATCAACTCTAGGCACCCTAACATCAAGTTCACTATGGAAAAGCAGGTTAATTATATTAAAAATTACCCTTTTCTGATGTCCTGATTGACAACCATGACCCCAATTCCTCTCTAACTAGGGTTTACCGCAAGAAAACTTTCACTGGGTTACTAACTAATTATTTCAGCTTCACCTCGTACTCTTACAAAGTGGGTCTCATTAAAACACTCGTTGATAGGGCCTACAAGATTAAAAACACCTGGTTAGGGTTTCACGAGGACATTAACAATCTTACTGATATTCTAAAAGAGAATCTTTTCCCTGCTCATTTAATCGAGAATATTATAAACCGTTACATCACTGGGACCCAAAACAATCATCGTCCCCGGGATTCCCTTCCTACCACTTCACCTACGTTCTACTTTAAGCTACCCTACATAGGCCACTTCTCTGCTATCACTCAAAAAAGATCTGCCATTTTATTTAGCGCTATTGCAACGACTTGGATATCAAACTGGTTTTCTCTTCCTTCAAAATCGGTTACTAGTTTCGTGTGAAAGACCCTGTTCCTGACGGGCTCCGTTCACGTGTGGTTTATAAGTTTGTATGTGCTGGCTGTAATGCCTGCTACGTCGGTGAAACCTCTGCCGGCATTTTTCCACACGTGTTAGAGAGCACTAAGTCAGTGACAGGGCCTCACACATTCTCAGGCATCTGAAAGATTCTCCACATCGTCGCGCTTTGTGTTCTACAGATAGCTTCCATATTTTAGATCACGCCGGAGGGGAGGAGGGGAGCTGTAATACCCCTTTAGAAGACAAACACTTTTTTTTTGAGGGGGGGAGGCATTGCCACTTACATTTCGGTAGTAAAAGTTTTCTCCTCTGAGAGTATATCACACCCCATCCTCTACCACATAAGCCAAACTATGACGTCATCAATGGTTATCTCGTGACGTCACTTGATGTCATGGAGGAAGGGGAGAAAATGCCAGGATACTTAATGGGAATGTCTGAATAGGTACTATAATTATATCTTCTCTCTTGTACATCCCCCCCTCTCCCAAAAAAAAGCCACCCAATTAACTTCTTAGTTGTGTAACCTCTAGATCTTAAACTCATAGCTTGCCGAAATGGCTCTGGATCTCTCTGAGAAGCGAAACAACTTCACAGTATATGGCCGGACATTCATAGGTAGGGTGTTTCAGTCTGTTGTAAAAGTTTATTGTGACATCCAGCTGTAACTTAGAATCCATTTAACTTCAAACAAACCTTCATGAGTTAGGACCGTTTTGGTTCCTTTCATGTTGTCGAAGTTTGTCAACACTCAGCGAAAACAAAACAAAGGAAACTTTATTTTTTAGCAGATCCCAGCCCTTGTTTCTGAATGTTTATTTCCTTTTTAGCTTTTTTTTTTTCTAAACGGGACCTTCCGCTAAAGGTTTAATTAAAAATAATTAATGCGTGTTGGATAATAAGAAATGTATGGCTATTATCGATCACATCTGATTGCCAATGAGTTTTAAAACAACTACTAGATAAGTAATCAGAAATGTGATTTTCAAATTTAATGTTGAAATTTTTAATTTTGCACGCCATGTCTTAGATAAAGAAAGCCTTCCCGCTGTGGACCACGATAACAAAATCAAAATTATCAATTGAAAATTGTTCAATTTTAAAGTCCCATTTCCAACCTTAATGCAACTCGCGCCGCGACCTACTTTCCTGTAACACGAAATTCCCCAGATCACTGAAAACCTTCTAAAATCGTCTTCTCAAGAGCCATCTTGAACATATAGTCAACTATTTTACGGTAAATACATTCGCAATTCATTATTTCACAGTTTCCTTACAGTATTTTGAAATTTGTCAGGAAGAATCCGAAGAAAAATTTTTTTTTAAGTGTTACACTTGATTTCCCTTTAACCCTCCCTACAGATCTTTCCCGTAATGTATTTACATTTTGCGTCCAAATAATTCCGCATACCCCACCACTGTGCATTAAATTTGAAGCATGTGACGTAAAGTACAAATCAAATTCAGGCCTTTTCATCAGATTTTCAATCTCATTGTTGAGCTCTGCTTGTTTCCCTTCATCTTCCAAAATAACACACATTCTACTAAAAGATTACCGAATGTTTCCCACTTATGTTTCCACCCGCTGCCATGATTTGTTGTTTCTAACACAGAATCAACTTCCTGATAATTTTAGAAGAGAGAGAAGAACACTTAAGAGAACACTCGATAAGCTGGAGACCACTCCGCTTCGCGTCGTGGTTTCCTACGCTTATCTCGTGTTCTCCCAACCTCTCAAGTGTTTACATCAGGCTATGTAAACACGGAAACCATTTTACATTTCTTCATGGGTAAATGGTCAGTACCAAAGTGTGTTCTGAACATTTCGAAGAAGAGGATTGTAAGTTTATAGACAGCCAAACTAGGAGATTAAAAGGTGGGTCCTGTCTTTTAGTTTTAAGGTCAACAAGAGGCTATTTCGAAAAGAAATAATGATTCGTTTCCAGCATGATAATGTTAGGCGTGGCTGTCAAATGGCAGGAAAATGCTTTGGTACATTTTATGGACATGAAAGGAATGAAACTGTTAAAATAATCTGATGCGGGTTTCCAAGAAAATCAATCCTTTTTCCATTTTACCTAAAGGAATAATCAATTTATGTACACTGTATGTGACTTGTTTTATTTATGGGCTGTAGTTCTGAGAGGGGAGGATAGAGATCAGTATCAGCTTTCTCCCGTGAAATTGTTAATTCAATCGGTCAGAACAAATTTACGTACGTCAGGGAATTTGAAAAACCTATGAATGTTGCGACCGTGTAGGTATCAACCCGTCTACTCTTTAGTTTCTTTCCTTGTATCTCTTTAACATGTACAGGAGCCTAGCGTAAACCGAGCTTCAGACATGAGATTTATAAATCTCCACGGGATCGCTCATCAGTTCCTCATCGACATGTAATAGTTTGGACTGTATAGGTTCTTTCAATTTCTTAAACTTTTTGAAAAATAAACGACTGCCAGTGAGTTAGTAGGTTCATTGAGAACCGTGACCGGCAGTCGACCCCACGCAATTTCTAGGTATTCTGAGGTAACTTTAACCGAGCGTTAGTAAGATTTATAAATCTCCTCGAGATCGCTTAGAAGTTCCTCATCGACGTATAATATTTTGGGTTGTACAAGTCCTCTCTATTTCTGAACATTTCTAGAAAAATGTGCGACTGTCGGTCACTCAGTCATTAAAGAAACCGGAAGTCGACCTCACGCAATTTCTTAAGGTTACACATGAGATTTTTAAATCCCCTAGAGATCGCTTAGCAGTCACTCATCGACATGTCATAGCTTCTATAGTATAGGCTCTCTCGGATGGTGAAATTTTTCAGAAAAATATCCGACTGTCGGTCATTTATTAGTTGTTTGAAAACCTTGACCGACTGCTGGTCAAATAACAAGAGCGTACAATTAACGAGGAACATAACAAAATAACAGTTTTCGGAAAAACATGGCTTCATTCTAACCTTAATTCACGAAATCACCAAAAAATTCCCTATGCGATTCTTTTGCTTCGCTTTTGTGCCCATGTCATGTACCTTTTGGGATCTTAAAGATCGTGTGCCCACAAGTTTGTTTTCCAGCTCGAAAATGTTTGTAATTTCAAATACAAACTTCTCTTCGATTGTCGTCGATTTTTATATTACCGCAGTCTTTTGAGTGCTGATATATCTGTGAATATGAAAACTTCGGAAAGAGAAGAAGCGATTTCACTCATAAGGGTCATAAGATGTCGTCTGCAGCACATATATGAGCCGCTATAATGAAATTCAAACCACGTGACTGCATGGCTAACCAGGCCTGATCAATTAGCTATGAAGGAAATACTCTGAACTTGTTGAGATGGCGTTAATTGTTGGCGCGCACAAATCTGAGGATGTATTCTTTGAATTTGATGATTTCGATGAGGACGAGTTGGAAAAAAGTCTCCTTGAAGAAACTTTACAAAGGATAGAAGACGACTTCATGGGAAATCCTAGACATTACACTCTATTCACCGGTGCTGCTAGTGGCAGTGATATGTTCTGGCAAAATTTGGGAGCAAAGTACGGTGTTCGCATAAAAGCGTTTTCCTTTGAGGCACATGGAGGAAAAAATACTGCTAGAGTTGTTCTAAGCAACGAAAAATTGAAACAGGCTGATGAATTCTTGCTTAAAGCGAACAAAACTTTAAAGAGACATTTCCCGACAAGCAACAACTTTGTAAATAATTTACTTCGTCGTAATTGGTACCAAGTGAAAGATTCAAACGGTGTGTTTGCCATTGGCAAACTTAGTGCGAGTCGAAGCACAGTCGAGGGTGGTACAGGATGGGCCGTTCAAATGGCAGTCGATTCCAAAAAACCCGTGTATGTGTTCGACATCGTGAATAGTTTGTGGCAACAGTTCGAGGATTGCAAGAGGAAATTTGTGTATTGTGAAGCTCCAAGGCTGACTTTAAATTTTACAGGCATCGGAACAAGGGCTTTACCAGAGAATGGAAAAGTTGCTATTGAAAAAATATTCGAAGAAACTTTTGGATCTCTGTCAAGATTCAGGAGTTAATGGTGTGAGGACATTGTTACTACAAGTGACTGAATTTTGACAAGGATATTATTAATAGTGATAATATTTATTAACTTTTATAATAAAGTTCAGATATAATGCGCGCTGTCATCAGTTAAAATAGCGTGCTCTATCAGAGTACGAGGTATAAAGCTGAGTTAAAGCTGTGTCCCATCTTTTCCCATAATTTTCTTGGACTTTTTTTTTGTTGATTCAAATTGAAATTTTGGAACAAGTGAGTTAGCAAATTGGTAAAAAAAGAACCAGGCAAACTCGAACTATGTCTTGTGTTACTCCTTACACTTCTTTGTGTTCTAGCAGCTAGCACAGAACAGAGCACAGGCTTCTCTATTTGTTACATATTGTGATAGTAGTGTAGATATTTCCAAACCCTACCCTGATTCAGCAGTTTCAGTTTAGTTTCAGTTTTTGTACCACTGGTCTTTTTTGTGACAGGTACCTCTCGCAACAACAGTAACCACTGAGAAAACATTTTTTAAATCTTGCATATTGCAAAGAAAGCCTTGTATTGTAACTATGGTATAAAGAAATATTTATGGTGCAACCTGCTATAGATGGCTCAAGGTCCAGACACGTTTGTTAGAGAACAAACTCCGGGAAAACCATGAGCTTTGTGGAACAGATAATATCCACAGACAAATGACAAGCTTATTTTCTAGAAAAATATACTTTTGTCATCCTTATCCTTTAAATATTCTTTACAGTGCACAAAAAAAACCACATACAATCTGCTAACCTTTGAAAACAGACTTAACTTTTCATAGCAAATATGTGAACTTAAGTATCTTTTTTCTTATGTAACAACTTCAGTCATTTTTTCATTGCACGGGATATGAGGGTTGATAGGTTAGAGCAAAAATCTTGAATAGATTACCACCAAAGATTCCTCAGGTTTAATTGATATTAGTGCATGTGAAGAGTTTAAAGCAATTCTGGGTAAAAGAAAATATCTGGTAGACAATTTAATTGTACATGTGTACTACCTTATTATTAGCTGATGAAATATTATTTGTGCAGAGCCAATTTAGTGTCATGCCCTGCACAAAACATGGCTAATAAACTCAAACTCATGCAGCACTGCCTGCTAGGAGTACACCCTTTCCCCACCTTCCCTGATGAAGCTGTCAACAATCGCATATTATAATAGAGTATTTCTTAACAGTATATATATTATACATATATATATTTTTATACATTTTGGTGTATAGTATGAGTATTTTTGAGTAGTATTTATGAGTATTTTTAAAGTACTAAGTGATACTACTTTTTTTTTTCTGCCAAGTGTGTTTGCTCAATTTTCATGAGGCAGGGAAAACAAAGCAGATAGAGAAGAAGAGCATGCACAGTCAGCCAGTTAAATAGGCTTTTTTCACAGTGTAAGGTAACTAACTGTAAAATATTGCAAGATACCTGTACTCTGTTCACGAGTTATTCTTGTGCAGTTGGACAACAAAATCAATTCACTAAAATTGAGGTAATTATCCACCCCTGAAGTGAATAATTGGTTTAGTATAAACCACACAGATTCTAAAAAATAAGTTTATTTCTCTCAATATTCCGAAAAATGTTCAGAAATTAAACTCTTGACACTCATCTCATGGGCTGTTCAGAGGTGAATAGTACTTGCTATTTGCCTCCAAATTAGCTAGTAAGTGCATGAAAAGCGCTATTCATTTGTGTGGTATATGCTAATAAGAGATATTTTTAACATAATAGTGTAATAATTTTGAGACATTAAGCTGGTTGATTTCATGACAATTTATTCATCAAGGCTGTAAGTTGTAATAATATTAACCATGAAAATGTGTCAAACGTCCACTAATAACATCAAATTTCCAATTTGTTTTTGCATTTTTGGTTTGGCTAAAACATAGCAAAGAAACTTTTTTTAATGCACTTTGTACATCAAAATATGCCTTTATATTCAGATACACATTAAAGAAGTAACTTATGGTAAAGGAATAACTCAAGGCAATCTATAAACACAACTTATGGCTTAGAATATTTTAAAATGTGAGTGATGAAGTCTTACCACCTGATAAATTGCTATTATTGAAACTTAAGAAAATGGATCCAATGTAATTTTTTTTTATGACCTTATCCCTATTTTAAAACTTTTGCTTCAGGAAATGTACCTCTGACAATGTTATGAAATATCATCAACTTTTTCATCAGGGAAAAAAAACATCTCAGTCTTTACATCAAGTTATGATGCTCAGGTGTAGTAAATCTTGTCCATCTGTAAGGTTTCTATAGAAGTCTGTTGAAAACTCAAGATCAGGAAACTATGGTCCCAAAACTAGCCACTTCACTCAAATAAATTTAGTGGTCTTTTGTGAGCAAGTGCTGCATAATTTAACCCTAAATTAAAAATGATTTTCTCTCTTTGATTGACAAATGATAAACATATTACATTGTCAAAGTGATCTATTTCCCTTTTTCTAGTTTAAAAGCAGCTTGTAGAACTTGCCAGTAAATTATGAACTGTAATAAATATTTATAGTGATAATTCATGGCATAGATCATTATTTTAAGCATTGCAAATGTGTGACTCTTCATAGGAGCTTGTAGCATCCATGTTCACGCTAGAACTATCTCTTATTTTGACTTTGATCTGATGTACAAAATTATTAACAACAATGGAAAAGTGAAAATTGTGCTTTCTATTCAGGTAATGGTTTATATCTGTTGAGGTTTCCTTTTGCTTACAGAGAAAACCCTGTGTAGGTCAACATATCAAATGCAGAGTTCTTTAGCCTTCTACACACTGATGATAGCACCTTTTTTGTCTCTATTGTGACCTTAGTTTCTAGAGAACCCAACCCTTCTCTAAATCAACTGAACACTAGGAGGTTTTCCCAGATCACAATTGCATCTGCCATACATTTATCAAAGGCTTTATATGCTCCTATTTTTATCCCTTTGTATGAGGAGAGGTTCCCAAAAATCTTAAATTGATCTGTGTATAATTTTATAATTATATGTTTGGCTGTCTTTCTCAGTTAACCTATGTTCTCCTAGACCTTCATGCAGAAAGAAGTTTGCACTTGGCTTCAAGTGGAGCTTTCCTTTTCAGGAGTTACATTGATGTACCTTTGAACATTACAGGACTGTCAATATGAGTATGATCTTGTCTTCCTGCACTTACGAGATTTCCACTGCTCTCCCAAAGTGGGGGTGTCATTGATGAAGAATCTGTTGGTGTAGATCTCCCAGACTCACAAGGATCATGTTTACCACTTTCTTGGCTTAAATTACTTGAACTTAAAGAATGAAAAATGTTTCCAATAGGGGGTAACTTTAAAAAGCTCCATTGCTGTGGCATGTCATAACTGTGGCCAGGCACAGGAGGAATGGGAGGGTGGTTTCCATGAAAAATGTGTTTAGAGTGGAATGATGAGTGGGTTGCATTGTAATCTTGGTGTGGATTAATCATGACATGTTCATACCCTGGTTGATGCTGAAATGTATTTGTACCTCTGGTTGAATTCTCATTGTGGCAGCTGTTGAATGCAGAAGGAGGTGATGTTGCCAGTCTGAAGCTGGCTGGGTCTGCTTGATGAATTTGATGTTGTTGTAAAGGAATCTGGGTGTGTTCATGACCAGGCCTGATATGTAGGTGGGGCACATACATAGGACCTGTTGTGGTTACTATTGCAGGAGCCTTGCCTTGAAATGGTGCAGGCGTCATATAGAATGGTGGTAAAGGGTGTGGTAATCTTGGTGGTCCCTCACGAATATTAGCAGGTGGTGTAAGTCTGCAATGAAAATTAACTACATTAAGTTCATTTTTTAAATTTACAGTTGTTACCAATACAGAATGTTAAATTGCAAGGGGGAGGGGACACGTTTTTACTGTGCCTTGACAGGCTATACCTCCTAGTAGTGTATAGTTTTTAGGGTCTAAATATTAAGCAAGGTATGAAATTACACCTGTTACCATCTTCCTATACACAAGGTCTTGCATAAGGTTTGTATACTGGTGGTGCATGGTTCACCCCTACAATCTGTCATACCTTTTCAAAATGTTTCAAATATGCTGGTACTGTTTACAGTAGTGTCATAAAATCAATATACCTCAATCTACAGTAATTTTTTGTCTTGAATAGAGAAGAAAACTGACCAGAACCAGTCTTAATTAAGCCTACCCTCTAATCCTCTACAGGAAAATTACCCCAAAACTAAGTAATTAGAAAGAGTATTATTTCCATGGTGACAATAACACAAACAATTTTTATTCATGAGTTGTGATGCACCAGAAAAATGAACTTGTGAGCACAGTGAACGAGTGAGTTTTTTTGATGCATTGTAGCAAGTGAAAAAAAATCTTCCAATCACTTTCCATGGTATGATGTTTTTATTTCAAACATACAAAGATTTTTTCACCTTTAAATTCAAAGATTGGGAGAGAACTACAGACTGAAAATACACTGCTCTCCCTATAGAACATGAATGATAGTACTTCACAGTGTAAATCTCAGTATGTATGAAATAAAAGGTGGTTATCAGAGTCAGGTGGATAAGATGAATTGCATGAAAACTTACACCTACTCTATTAAATATTGTCATGTACCAGGTACAAGGTTTACCTTTGCCAAAAAGCATCCTACAAATACCTTAAAGTTTTCATCTGAACTAAAAGTGTATTTGAAAAGTAGATTGAATATCCTTGTTTGAAGTTGTTGATAGATTATGAATGTTTCCATTCACTACCTTGGACGTGTTTGTTTAATGTTTGCTGATAAGTCCCTGGTTCTTTTCCTAGGAAGTGTAGCAGTTGTGTCAGCAATATTCTGAGAGATCTGAAAGAATAAGTATGAAGTTTACATATAATCAGAGGCTGTACTTTGAACAACTCTTAAATCAGCTGCAAAAAATGTCTTGCTTAAATTACATATAGCTGCATGAGCTGATAGTTCCAACAAATGGTAATTGAGAATTACTCAAGTGAACAGGGTCAAGTCAACTGAGCCATTATTAAATAAATTTCAGACCTGCATGCCAATTATTTACACTGTCATCTGTATCTAAGGGCATGGGAATTTGAATAAAAAATGTCAAGCCTTTCCAGTGTAAGACAAATTTTAATGGAAGAGTCTTAAGGGTATTGAGGGTAAG